ATTCTTGGTCTTAGTTTGACTTTTTTATACTCTAAATGTAAGTGAAATCATGCAGTATTTCTTGTTTTCTGCCTGCTTTGTTTCACATAACATCTCCCAGGTTCATCCATGTTGTCGCAAATGACAGTTTTCTTCTTTTTTATAGCTGAATAGTACTCCATTATCTATATGTACCACATTTTTCTTTATCCATTCATGTGTTGTTGGGCACTGTGGTTGTTTCCATGTCTTGGCTATTGTGAATAATGCCACAGTGAACATGGGAGTGCAAATATCTCTTTGACATGATAATTTCACTTCCTTTGGATATATACTCAGTACTGGGATTCCGGGATCATACTGTAGTTCTACTCTTAATGTTTGTTTTTTTTTTTTTTGAGACAGAGTCTCGCACTGGTGCCCGGGCTGGAGTGCAGTGGTGCCATCTTGGTTCACTGCAACCTCCACCTCCCTGGTTCATGCAATTTTCCTGCCTCAGCCTCCTGAGTAGCTGGGATTACAGGCATCCGCCATCAGGCCAAGCAAATTTTTTGTATTTTTAGTAGAGATGGGGTTTCACCATGTTGGCCAGGCTGGTCTGGAACTCCTGACCTCGTGATTTGCCCTCCTTGGCCTCCCAAAGTGCTGGGATTACAGGTGTAGCCACGACGCCCGGCCTATTCTTAATGTTTTGAGGAACCTCCATACTGTTTCTATACTAATTCACATTCCTACCAACAGGGTGCAAGAGTTCCCTTTTCTCTGCATCCAAGTCAATACTTGTCTTTTGTTTTTTTTTTTTTCTTTGAGATGGAGTCTCATTCTGTCACCCAAGCTGGAGTATGGTGGCACAATTGCGGCTCACTGCAACCTCCACCTTCCAGGCTCAAGCTATTCTCCTGCCTCAAACCTCCTCAGTAGCTGGGATTACAGGCACCCCCCACCACACCCGGCTAGTTTTTGCATTTTTAGTATAGATGGGGTTTCTCCATGTTGACCAGGCTGGTCTTGAACTCCTGACCTCATGTGATCCACCCAACTCAGCCTCCCAAAGTGCTGAGATTACAGGTATGAGCCACATGCTTGGCCATCTTTTAAATAATATAATAGTAATCCTGATTTTCACTCACATCCCTTCTTTTCTATTCTTTCTTTTCTTTTTTTTTTTTTTTTTTGTTTTTTGTTTTGAAGACAGGGTCTTGCTCTGTCACTAGGCTGGATTGCAGTGGCACCATCTTGGCTCACTGCAACCTCTGCCTCCTGATTCTCCCACCTCACCTCCCAAGTAGCTGGAACTACAGGCACATGCCACCATGCCCGCTAATTTTTGTATTTTTGATAGAGACGGGGTTTTGCCATGTTGCCCAGGCTGGTCTTGAACTCCTGGGCTCAAACAATCCTCCCACCTCGGCCTCCCAAAGTGCTGAGATTACAGAGCCATCATGCCAGGCCTTTTCTAGCTTGTCCATCATCCATCACTATAACTACTCCTTCCCTGTTCTTCCCGTTACGCTTGCCTGGCAAACCCATACTCTGCATAAATTTAACCATTTGTCTTCCCAGTGCTTTTACTAAGCACAATCAGACTACCAGGCAAGTTATCTTCACTTAGTGCTTATGATCCTAATTTCAAACGGACTGTCAATACTGCCTGGCAGCTCCTACTACATTACCCCTTTAAGTTTGCTTTTCTACTCTCAAGAAGACTTTTTCCCTAGGCTGTCTCTGCAAAATGTCTACCCCTCTCATCTTAACTGATGACCTAGCCACCATGTTACTAAGGAAATAGAAGCAATGGGGGCTGGGTGCAGTGGCTCACGCCTGTAATCCTACCACTCTGGGAGGCCAAGGCAGGCGGATCATAAGGTCAGGAGTTTGAGAACAGCCTGGCCAACATGGTGAAACCCTATCTCTACTAAAAATACAAAACTTAGCCAGGCATGGTGGTGGGTGCCTGTAATCCCAGCTACTTGGGAGGCTGAGGTAGGAGGATATCATGGGCCCAGGAGGTTGAGACTACAGTGGGCCATGATCATGCCACTGCACTCCAGCCTGGATGATCCTGTCTCAAGAGGAAAAAAAAAAAAAAAGACGGGCCGGGCGCGGTGGCTCACGCCTGTAATCCCAGCACTTTGGGAGGCCGAGGCGGGTGGATCACGAGGTCAAGAGATCGAGACCATCCTGGTCAACATGGTGAAACCCCGTCTCTACTAAAAATACAAAAAATTAGCTGGGCATGGTGGCGCCTGCCTGTATTCCCAGCTACTCAGGAGGCTGAGGCAGGAGAATTGCCTGAACCCAGGAGGCGGAGGTTGCGGTGAGTCGAGATCGTGCCATTGCACTCCAGCCTGGGTAACAAGAGCGAAACCCCGTCCCAAAAAAAAAAAAAAAAAAAGACTAGCCAATCCATCTGCAAGACCTATAGAACCTTCCACTCTGCAAGACCTATAGAACCTTCCACTCTCCCTTCTTCAAGTACCTAGTTCCTCAAATCTAAATCTTCCCCTTCAGCACACTAACATGCTCTCTAGTCTTTAAAAAATAGTAGCACAGTCACTCTGGAAAATAGCATGGCATTTTCTTAGAAAACTAAAAACACAGCTACCATATGACACAGAAATTGCACTCCTCGGCATTTATCCTAGAGAAATGAAGACTTACATTCACACAAAAACCTGTACACATATGTTCATAGCACCTTTATCTATAATAGCAAAAACCTAAATTAGCTCAAGTGTCCTTCAGCAGGAGAACAATTAAACAAACTGTGGTATATCCACACCATGGAATATTGCTCAGCAACAAACAGGAGTGAACTACAACATGCGGCAACTTGGATGACTCTCCAAGGAATTCTGCTGGTTATTTGTTATTGTTGTTGGTTTGAGTCAGGGCCTCACTCTGTTGCCTAGACTGGCATGCAGTGGCATGATCACAGTTCACTGCAGCCTCGCCTCAAACTTCCAATCCCAAGTGATCCTCCCACCCGAACCTCCCAAGCACCTGGGACTACAGGTGTGCACCACTACACCAGGCTAATTTTTAAATTTTTTTGTAGAGATGGGATCTCACTGTATTGCCCAGGCTGGTCTCAAACTCCTGGGATCAAGCAGTCCTCCTAACTCAGCCTCCCAAAGTGCTGTGATTACAGACATGAGCAACTGAGCCTGGACCTGATTTTAAAAAGGTTACATACTATATGTCTATGCATGTAACAGTGTTGGTTTTTTGTTTTTTTTTAAGACAGGGTCTCACTGTGTCACCCAGGCTCAAGTGCAGTGGAGCAATCTTGGCCACTGCAGCCTTCACCTCCCTGGTTCAAGCAATTCTCCTGCCTCAGCCTCCCGAGTAGCTGAGATTACAGGTGTGCACCACCATGCCCGGCTAATTTTTGTATTTTTAGGAGAGATAGCGTTTCGCCATGTCAACCAAGCTGGTCTTGAACTCCTGGCCTCAAGTGATCTGCCCACCTTGGCCTCCCAAAGTGCTGGGATTACAGGTGTGAC